AATGAGAGGCCAACACCTTAACCTCTAGGCCACGAGAGCCCCCCCATGAAGATCAGTATTAGCAAGACCGAAGTCATGACAATTAGCAGGAGACCAGTCAAAGTGGATATCAACATCAATGGATCCCAACTAAAACTAAGCAGCGAATTCAAATACTTGGGCAGCATTTTCACAGAAAATGGAAAATTAGCAAGAAATAGACACTAGATGCCAGAAAGCCAACGCAGTCAGCTATCAACTCGGCCCTCTCCTGAAACGTCCCAATATCCCCATGAGCACCAAGGCGAAGCTCATCTCTGCCATTTTTCTTCCAACACTCACATATCAGTGCCAGACATGGTCCCTAACAAAAGCCTTAGAGAGGAAACTGGTCACATGCGAGATGAAATGCTTAAGAAGAGCGGTCAACAAAACAAGAAGAGACAAAATTAAAAATGAAGTCATAAGGGACACCGTGGGAGCAACACCAGTCCTACCACACTTTGAAAAACAAAAGGTCAAGTGGTTCGGACACCTCACGCAGATGCCCTCAAACCATCCGGCTCTGAGAGCATACAACATTAAATATTCTGGATGGAGAGCCAGAGGAAGACCAAGGCAATGATGGAATGAATCTGTGGCAGACACCCTCAGAGCTCATGGGATGTCCCTCCTACAGGCCACTCGCCTTGCTCCAGACAGCCGCCCGTGTTTCCCCGCTTGGCCCACCGGTACAAGCGGAAGAAAAAAGTAAAGTATTTATTATTATCTATTATTAAATTATGTGGGCGGGTGCGTGGTGGGGGGGTGGGGGGTGGGGGGGGGGGGGCAGTAACTTGCCCATTGGCGCTTTGTTGACCTCCGGTTTTGGATTTGACTAAACTGTACCCCCCCCCCCCCCCCCAATCAGGGAATTTCTGGCTACGCCCCACAAACGACACCCTGTATGGCTATGATTTTAGCATGGTACAAGGCTGCTATAAAAAGTGTGCGGTGTTGAGTTTAATTAGTAATTAACCCTTTCGTTGCCAGAGTGTATGCATTCCTACTGTCAGCACTGATTTTCAGCTGAGCTCATTTCCCAGGACAGCAGCCTAATGTCTTACTGTAAATGGACAGGCGGTCTAGATTTAGATCTAGCACACTCATGACATATTTTGGACACCCGGTCTTTGGTTGTCACTTTTCTCACTTTTCTTTTGCCCCATGTCCTCCCATATCACTCATAATTTCGAATAACCTGCAATTCTAAGTAAAAAAGTAAATTTATTAGACCTTTTAAAGTCATTTTGATGTTAGTGTTTTACGGGACCATGCAGCTGCCAACAAGCCTAGATCTGTGTTTATCGATCACTTGCAAGCTTAGCAGTAAAGTAATGCTAGCGAATTTAGTACTGATACCGACATCTTTTATTTCCGAATACAAATCTCTAGGCGTACAAACATCGCTCTTTTACTTTTAGTTGGCTCAGCGATGGAGTGGCAGGGTCACGGCAGGCCGGGTCACACAGAGGTCACTAATCCGACTTCCCGCAATCTGCGTCGGTAGCCGGTGAAATGAATTTTTCAACACGTTTTATAATCTTACACAAACAAAAAATATCATACGTGAACACAAGTTTGTTCTTAATAGAAAGCAACTAAACTTCTTTATTGGTATGAAAAAGCAATACCATGGCAGCTCACATTTTGGAGTTAGATGCTCATAAAATGTATGTCTATTTATAGTTAGTCAAAACAAAAACAAACAAAAAATTGAGTGGCTAATAATAACTTATTAGCATAAGAATAAATATTTACAAAACTTCTACGTAAGACGGAAAATGTGTTAAAAAATTGACTCACTCAAAATTTGGTCCCCAGCATGAACATGGAACTTGTCATGAGCATGATAGCCAAAACGCTTCACTGCATTCATGGATTTTTTTATCCATTGAAATGCCTATCTTCCTAAATAATGATATACTGACGTATCTTCAATATACAGCACCGATTCCTTTTCACAAAATGAACATGTACAGAATAAAAGTGTGAATACAATTAATTTTTCTTTCTGAACATATCCAGCAGCACGCAATGAGGGTGCTATTTGCAGGAGATGTGACACAAAAATAAAACGCATTTTGTCTATCTGGTTTGGGATCCTTCGTGCTCTGGCTTCCAGTTTTGAGATGGCTTTCTGTGCCCTGTTCTCCCAAAAGTCAGAGAGCAAACATGTCTTGTTGTATGTGTGGAATACAGTGTTGCTATGATATGTGTTGCTTTGGAATGACTGTGCGGGGAAATAGCGTCTGAATGCGGCCATGTAATTGTCGATTGTTAAGAGGATTTCTGGAAGTCAAAATACAGTCAAACCTGTGTAAGACGGCCACCCATTGTCAAGGAGAAAAGTGGCCGTATAAGACAGGTGGCCGTCTTAGGCAGGACTGATCAAGATAAAGAAAATTAACCATTCCCATCTGAGGCCCCAATGGAAAGTAGCCCCATTATGTTGTCTTTGTTGGTGTTGTTGTTGTTCGTTTGTAATTTTTATTTTGTCGCTGATTTTGCACAAGGGTGACAATGAAACGAAATGTATCAGACAAGGAAGACTGAGTGCCATGTTAAAACAAAAACATGGGTCGCCACCATTCGGAGAACGAGCGACGCCTTCTGTCACAAGTTCATGTTGACGTTCTTTGTTACTTTGTTACAGACTGGGTAAACAGTGACCACTCATCTCACGATTTGTGTATGAGTTCTGGGCGGGGCTTATGGGTTATGAGGGATCACACGCTTACCTCACCAGCAGCTGAAAATTGGTAGCTATTGGTCAACAGTGGGAGGGGCCTACGCAGCATGATCGGTTGGAGGGACTACCTAACAACAACGACAGGTGATTGAATTATGACAGCTCGCCCACAACGCCAGGGGCCAATGCACAATTTATGACAAAACGTAATGGAGTCACTAAGGTGACCGTCTTAGACAGGTATTATTGCTTAGTATGATAGGGGTTGTGTGTTAAATTATGGTGGCCGCGGCCGCGTTGGACAGGTGCCCGTTTTACACAGTTAAATTATATAGAAAAAATGCAAGGGGGGAAATGGAAAGTGGCCGTTTGTACAGGTGACCGTCTGATAGAGGTGGCCGTCAGGGCAGGTTCGACTGTAGTTTGACTGGTTTGAGATGTGATATATCAGTGTGAACATGGCCAAATCTTTCATTGAGACAATTTGAATTTTGCTTCCACTCCACTTGCTTCCTCAATTATTGCAGTTTCGCGGGAGTATTTTCTTGTATCTGTACAAATTGTGTTTGTTAGTTCCTTGTATACATGGAGATGAGGTACTTGTGACAGAGATTGCCCACGAATCTGCTGTGGTATGTTTGAGGTGTGTTGCGATGTTTGCTTAAATTAAAATGGAACCCTGTATGCAGCCACCCAAGCGATGACGACAAACGGAGCAGGAATTTACATTTATGTTATTGTCAAACGCACACCACATGTTCCTACTAGCGTCAACAGCATTTTTTTTTTTTTGCGGCTTGAACTGACGTGGCGTAACACCCTATCTTGATAGTTGAAATCGCTGTAAAACTAAAACATACGACTGTCCATCTTCGTCCCTCACATCAATCCCATAAATCAAAGGAATATCTCCTGCCATTGTCTTACATAACGGGAGCTTTCTGTACTTTTTTTGTTTGACAGTTAAATTTAAACACTATCACACCCGACAAAGTTCATTCAGAGACTATCTATGGCTCTCATATTATTATTATGTGTGACCCATTGCAGTTTAACAATTTTTACTTAGGAACATAATTCACTAACTGATTGCCAGTCACTGCAAAGAGCTGGAAAAACAAAATTCACATCATTAGAAAATATGATTTGATGGCTATCACACCGTGCAAACAGAAATGAACACAAACGTTTCATTTTGGACAGATGTGTAATTAAATTTGAATAGACCACATTACCAACGGCACTTTCTATCACTTAACACTCACAATTTAAAACTTATTATTCCCAAACGAATCAATGAAAACTGGTGAAACTTTCACAAGATACCAAGAAGACGTAGACCAAGCGAAATTGGCAAAGAAATATATTCTAGGGGTAGAGTGAGCACCATTTTAATAATAATAATAAATGACATTTATATAGCGCTCAACCCCGAATAAAGTACACCGGCTCTGAGCGCTTTACAATACAGTACAACATACAACAGTAACATGAAACATTGTGTTCTGACTAAAGAAAATTATTCCAAATATTCATCTTATTAATTTAAAAACAGAAACGACTTCAGCTGACATTGGAATGAATCAAAAGATTTGATTTCTCTCAACGTACTTGGTAAAGCATTCCAGATCTTGGGGCCTTGGTATTCAAATGCCCTTTCACCCATTGTTTTAAGTTTCATAGATGGTAAAATAAATTTCTTTTTGTCAGCTGATGACCTTAAACTGCGAGTTTACGGCTCATGAAATTAAGGGAAGAAACGCGTTTTGATAAGGACAGGATAGGAGAGCGCTGTGCACGAGTTGACCCCGGAAAATCCCTGACCTGAAACTGCAGGTCACCTGCCGGTAATTTATGGCCTACTGCGGGGGCCCCGGACAAACAAAAAGATAGCTGAGGCGGAATATTGGACGCCGTGATCTATGCACCTCTTGTCTCTAAAACTCTGTACAGAAGAATTATAGCCATGTTATTAGTAGTGTGATGTACATGCAACATCATACAGGCAACCAGGAGTGGCAAATTTCGCAAACTTCCGTGACGTACATGGTACAGCATAACATGAAAAATTACGCATTTTCATGACATACGTAGTACGTCATATGGCAACGAAGGGGTTGATTATTAATGATTATATAAACAGCACCTCTTTACATTTGTTGCATAAGCACGAAAATCAAGACTTTTAAAGTCTTTTAGAATTTATAGCACATTTGGTGTTGCCCAGACTATAACTGTTACATCACAGATGCCCGTAAGTCAAGACTGAGGTCCTCCCTAATGCACTGACCTGCATCTCCTCTTCCTTCTGTTGCTGTGCTGAGGCCATGGCAGACTCAATCTCTTCCTCATCCATGATAATGAGGTCCTGCGGTCGGCCACGCCGTTCTTCTACCAGCTGGTACACATCTGAGGGTGCCTCTCGGAGGAGACCTTGACCTTGCCAGAAGGAAATTTTTCGCCGCAAAACAGTGGGTGTCATCTCAAGCTCAGAGCACAGCTCCTCTACCGTCCACTTGGCTGCAAAGTACAATTTTGTTTTAATGGTTTTCAATACAAGACAACCATTAGTGAGTGCACTGGAGCTTTAGGTTTAAACATCAACAACAACAAAATTTATGTTTAAATTTTACTGAAAAATGTCGATCAGAGACAAAAAAAAAATGTACATTTACAGTAACCAAGGACACTTCAGCTTTGGAAGTCACCAAACTTTGGCGGCCATTTTCTCACTAATTTTACCGTGTACACCACCTTTTTGAATAGCAAACATCTTGAGTTGTTTTTATGAAAACGGTTTTTCTTTTTCTTTTTCATTAAAAACAAACGAAATGAAGAGGTACTAAAATTATACCAATAACTCCATGGGCCCAAAAATTAATGAGCGCATGATTCCACCATATAACATCACATATTATAAAGTAAAACATAACAATTGCATTTGTATAGAACATATTCATACTCTGCCATATACTCTATGCTCTATGCCCTTTAAAACTATTATTACCCCAGGAGATTGTTGAATCAGTGCTTTGACCAGGTGAAGCTGAAAAGTAAGGAAAATTCTGCCGCATAGGCCCCCAGCAGAGTCCAGGGACAGCATCCGGTGGAGGTTCAGGGGGAAGCCCCCAAGAAATTGAAATTTAGTGCTTTCAGAGTGTTAAAAATGGCATTTGGGAGCCTGTTTAAAGAGATTGCCTACAACCCATAACATTTATTTGTTCGCCAACATTTTGTCTTGTTTGATTTTTCAGTTTCGCACGAAACATACAGTGCAAGCTGCGGATTATATGTGCTTAAAAACTGACCAGATCTTTCGCTGTCAAAATCCGGGTACCAATTCCTACCTTGGTGAAGTGAGGAAAATTTGTGTAAAGTGTCTTTCCCAAGGACACAATGTCAGAACCCTGACAGAATTCAAACCCACGACCTTACGATTGCGAATCTGAGTTTCATGTCTAATCGATGGCGCATAAATGACCTTATTGTAATGCAAGTACTAAACAAACAAAAATGTAAGTATAGTAGTATAGGGTTTTACAGCGCTCGCAACTGCTAAGGTCATATGAGCGCGCGAAACACAAGTTGTTTACTTTCGCAAAAGTTCGCTGCACGATTGGTTAACTAATTGATTCTAAAATGCTAAAATGTTAAAATATTAAAATTCAGTGTAAATATATTTGTGATCTAAAACAACTCTTATAAGTAACAATAAAAATTTTTAATAGTACGTTTTCATTTTACAATTTGCCATAAAGGCCAATGGCCTTCATAAAATTCAAAATTTTGCTGGGACCAACGATGGGAAAAATATCTTGCAATTTCTTGCATTTATAATATTTCCTTCGGATCTCTCCAAGGTCTAGACATTCTGCTAAGATGTGTCTAATGGTAAAATCTGTGTCGCGTCCGACACAGAACGGCTTCTCATCTCCCCGTAGGAGGTATTTGTGGGTCAGGGCCGTGTGTCCGATGCGCAATCGAGTAAAAATGACTTCGTCTCTTCTGGAGAGGTCCGAAGGATTTCGCTGTTTTAGTTTGGGTTTTATTTCGTATAGTTTATTATTTTTCTGGTTTTCCCAGTGGCTCTCCCACAGACTGGAGGAGTACTTTTTGACTTTATTTCTAAAGTCAGTCTGTGGGAGAGTGTTTGTCGTTGATCCCAGCAGAAGGAATGAAGCTTTCTTCGCCAGGTCGTCTACCTGCTCGTTTCCTCGGATGCCCACATGGCTGGGTATCCATGCGAACATGATGTTTTTTCCTGTTTCGGATAGTGTATGAATTTTCTGTTGTAGCCTAACTATTTTTGGGTGTAGGAGTGTGTAGTTTGTGAGTGAGGTGATGCAAGACAAACAGTCAGAAAGGATAAGGAAAGATTTGTTAGGAGAATTTTCAACAGAGTCCAGTGCCATGTCAATGGCAGTGGCCTCCGCAGTGAAAATGGAGGCTTCAGGATGGAGTCTCCTCTGGTGTGTATTGTTGGGAGATAGGGCTGCGGCGCCAATTTCATTGTCTTTTTTGGAGCCGTCCGTGAAGATGAGCTCCGCACCGGGGTATTTATCTATTAGTTTTTTGTTATCTGCTTTGAAAGTTTTGGTGTTTGTGCTTTCTTTGTTGTGCATGGTCAGCTGTAAGTCTACTTTTGCCTTGGTGAGGTGCTACAGAGGGAGGTCGGGGAAAAGAATTTGTTGGATGTCTTGTTTGGAAAAGTGTAAGTTTTTGAGGTCCTCAAGGATTCTGAGGCCGAAGGGTTTGATGAGTTTTTCGTTGTTTTGGAATTTGTTTATGGTTTCTGGGTTTGTTTTAAAAATGTGCGCTGGATTTTCCAGTGTTGAGCTCTGTTTAACTGCTTATTGTAGAGAGAGTTGTGTGCGTCTGAGTGAGAGTGGTGGTATGTTGGCCTCGGCCTGGAGGCTCTCCACCGGAGCGAGGCGGAGTCCTTGGTTCTGTATTGGGTCTAGCATTTTTAAGATGTGTGGTTTTGCCGATCCGTGGTGGTGGGGTAGGGGGGTGTCTGCTGGAGAGGGGGAGGGGGTGGAGCAGACGGAGGGAGCTGGGAAGAGGGGGGAGGGTGCATCTGACGTTCCATCAGAGGGATGAGGTGTGAGGTGGAAGAAGAAGAAGAAAAAGAAGGAGAAGAAGAAGAAGAAGGAGAAGAAGAAGAGGAAGTGAAAGAGGAGGGGGGCGTGGGAGGAGAGAGGGCGGAGGGAGATTCTACCCTGTCCTCCCCTAGAACATCAAAGCGGTTTGTCAGAGGTATCTTGGTGGGAGGAAGAACCTCTATAGTTTTAGTCACAGAGACATGCTTGTTGACCGTGGCAGAGATGCCAACCACAGAAAACCGAAATGAGTATTGGGAAAAATGAAAATGTGTATTTTCAGGGGAAAATGTGTATTCCCCTCGACCGACCAACTTGTAATAGTAAAAATTACTAGCTCACCAGCTCGAAAAAGGGAGCATACACGCGTACAATATATATGTATGCAGTCAACAACATGTCAGTGTTCAATGTCGTACAGGGGTCTTGTTTGACTTAAGTATTTCAATCTATTATATATTTTCCTCTCATATTATTATTTAAAAAATAAATCCTGCTTTGAGAGTTCGGAAGGGCCTAGAAGAAGAATTTCGACTATCAAGAACCAGTCTGGGTGTCATGATTCATTTATGAACTGACAGACTCAAATTATTGCTCAAACTCAGAGAACAGCAATAACTTGAAAGGCTCAAGTAGACCCGTGCACTGTGAGAGTTGTAACAACTGTGGGAGGGCAAGATGCAGTGACATTGAAAATCTGCCAGTCTTGAACAGAAAGCTACAACATACACCGTAGGTATAATTTATTATCACCCATCCAAGTAGATGTAGGCATAATTTACTATCACCCATCCAAGTGCCAGTAGGTATAATTACTTCCACCCATCAAATGAAACGCGAACACTTTATTTCAATAACACAGACTTGCAAAGTATGAGGGGTCCCGATTCCGCACACGGCCTGCACCAACGCACGCTTAGCAGAAAGCTCTAATCAAAATTCTGAAATGCGCTTCCGCTTCCAATTTTTTGTCCTCTGGTGTTGCCCTAAATCCCACCCCCACCCCCCCCGATAGTATCTTAACGGTAGGAGCTACCCTTGAGGACCATTTTCAATGTTTGTTGCCCGAGATCAAATCTAAGTACACATATAAGTTAGACATAGTAAAATCTCTTGATACGCAATTTTATTTTGGCATAGCTACAACGGTTGCTATGAAAACGGCCGCCATCTTGAAAATAAACAATGAATTTAAAATCCCTAAGGCTTTCTTATTTACAGAGAAAATTTGACCAAATTTGGTGAGAGTATACCTGAACCAAACCATATCAGAGTAACAGCAAGTTTTTTTCAATACGTGCAAAAGAAAAAAAATTATGAGAATTTTCCCAAAGTATAAAAAAACGTTTTCTTAATTTAGGTTGCGTAATCGCTTGCCAAAGGAAAAGTGTTACTTTTTTCGCAAATATCTTTCTGTTACATTGATGGCAGCCTTTCCAACTATGTTTCCTGAAAGTTTCATGTCAAAAGGATGAAAACTAAGGAAGGAGTAGGGAAAAAACTGCACAAAAATTACATTTTGCGAAAACTGACAATAATTGTGAAAATTCACTATATTAATTCATCCTCATGTTTTTAAAGGCAAATTACCTGTAGAATAAAGTCTTTCTCAATTGAATCCATGCTATTTTTAGACAAAAAACTGGTGGATCTTCAAAAATCAGCCAAAATAAAATGTGCATAGCCTGACCCAAAATCTGCAAAATCAAGGGTTGCTCCTCCCCTTAAACCGAAAACCCCCAAAAATCAATAATCTCCTCCCCTATTATGTAGTCATATACTTCGCAGCATCCGTTACTCCCACCAAAGACGGTCTTCACTCACACGATGCCGCATTTTTTTATGAATCGAATGCACGCAGGTTCAGTGACCGGTCACGATGGCGAGCCAGACAATCTAAAAATCGGACGACGCTTGTATTTTCTTTTTCTTTTTTCTTTCCACAAGCGACAGCCAAAGCGACGAGTCCAAGTGTTTATTACATTTTATTTGCACGGCGACATTGCGTTTATACTGCACAACCTGCATGCCACAAATGTTGCGTTATCAGACAACTGCTGGCGAACTTCTTGGTGGTAGCGAAAGCAGATCTTGATTTTCCCGATCGAGCCTCGGTGTCACATACGCTTCCGCCTGCCGCCATAGCTGCCTATACGCGTCAAAGTGAAACGTCCTCCCCGGACGGGGAAAAGCTGAACGAATGTAATACAGTGGAATCCTGTTATAACGAGAGGGAGGGGAATGGAGCAAAATGTCCGTTATAACAGGATTCTCGCTATAAGGGATCCAGTAATAACTTGGAGAGAAACTGTAAAGTAGGCCTAATCTATGAGTTTGGTCTTCTGTTTATTTCCTTTTGCTATCTTCCCTGACGATGATTTTGATTCAACATGACCTTTAGGTCTTACTTGATCAAAAATCGAATCAGGTTTCTTTTTTTAGTACTAGATCTAGCGATGTCGACTGGCAGCTCGGTGTTGGCGATCAGAAAGAAAGGGCTCTGGGCTATACTATTCTCTGAACGTCTAGGCTCTGGGCTAACTCGCACGTCACACATTTGCTCAACCCATCACATTGCTGTGACATCTCCATCCCCGCATCGGGGAAGTGAGAGGGATGGTAGGCCTTGATAATCTAAACTAGTAGGCTTACGCTGGCCTATCACACGATGTGTTCTGCTTGTCTGCGCATGCCACACCCTCCCTACTCAGTCGCTGCGGCCTTCATTGTTGACACACATAGGCTCTCCCATTCTTTGTTTCGCTAGATCACCAACAAGTTTCTCAACTGGCGAGGATTTACATATTATAATTAATTGGCCTATACGCTGTGCACAGCAGCAGGAATATTCCGCTATAACCGACTCGCGTGTTTGTCTGACTGCGCTATAGCAGTATTTTATTTACAAAGATAAAGAAGAGAAAAAACAGGGTTTTAGAATAGTGTCTTTATAACAGACTTCTCGCTTTTTCCGGACTCGTTATAAGTGGACTCCACTGTATCACGATGGCGACCAGCAAAAATGAACTTACTGACCTTATCGGACTTGGTTTTCAAAATATTCCAGTTCTGCGATACTGATACTATTTGAAAAGATGGGACTTGAGATAATTAGGTTTACTCGCCCAAGCTGAATCTCGTACTTTTCACATTCCAGGATGCGTGTATTTTTTCATGAAAAGTCGTATTCGCGTATTTTCGGCAAAAAATCGTACTAAAATACGTAAAATCGTACTGGTTGGCATCTCTGCCGTGGGCTTTGGGAGGTCAGCAGTAGAAGGACTTGCGGACCTCGTGGCTTCCCATGCTACCTTTGCGTAAGACCGGCCAGGGACCGGGGTCACAACTGGCGGGCAGGTAGCTTTGCGGGCCTCCTGAAACGAGCAGCCATTTCGTAATTTATACTCTTGGATTGCGCATTCTTGGGATGCCCGGTCTTGCCACAACGAGGACACACGGCTGCGTGTCGGCATCTCGACTGACTATGTCCAAACTTCTGACACTTGAAACAGCGCAGAGGGTTCGGTACATAGGGTCGCACGTCTAAGACCATGTACGATGCCCGAACGGTGGCTGGAGGGCGACACGAATCAAAGGTCAGGATGACCGTGTTGGTTTCGAGGGTGGTCTCCCCCCGTCGGAGAGTAATCCGGCGGGCGTCAATCACACCTTCACATTTCGCCACAATTTCCTCCATGCTGCAGCCCTTTAGTTCATGGCTGCGGGCGACGCCCTTCGAGCAGTTCAACTTCTGGTATTGTTCGGAAGTACATGGAATACTGCCGAAGGTCGTTATGTTCAGAAGTTTGGCCACTTCAGTCTCTGTTGCGCACTTGACGAGGAGTACACCAGAGGACAGCTTCTGTCCATTCGTAGGAATGTATCCCAGAACCTGTCTTAGTGCATCTCCCGTCTTGAACAGATTCAGATCGGTGATCTTCTTCTGTGCGTCTTCATTGCTGCTGATGGCTACGTACGGCTGCTTCGGAAGCTCCCTGGGAGAAGGGAGAAAAGAGGCAGACGTAAAGGTCCTTTTTCCAGATTTGGAGTTTTTGCTCGGCTTGGCGGCCGCACCCGCTTCCGCGAGCCGAGACTTTTGGGAGCTGGGGAAGGGTCTTTTTGAGTTTTAGAATCCATGAGAGTGTTCTATTTGATTCAACTCCGGGGCTCCCCGCCCGCCATGGAGCCCAACAAGGGGACACATTGCTCAGATGACCAGAGCTGTGCCAGGGCTACCCCGGAACTATACTCTCAACGAGAAAGTACAAGACCCTCCCGTCAAGATTGACCCAGGGCTTGATGGGGTTTCAGCTCTCAACCGATTGAGTGGCATGGGCCGTGCCACCCTCCCGTCTAAGAGGAAAACCTTGGGCCAAAGAGGTGTGTTGGCAAGGGACAGTCCATGGACTGATCTCACCTCAACCGCCAGGTACCCGGTTTCCCTCCGCATGGGTCGCACCTCGCGGTCAACAAGGCGCCCACTCTGTGGGATGGGTGACCTCTCGTTTTGCTGCACATGAGGTCAGCGGTGGTAGGAAAGATAGAAGAAGAAAGAAAGAAGGAAGGAGAAGAGGAGGATACACCAAAGTGAGTGTCGCACACGGATCCCAGAGGGTTGGGTTCCGTGTGCGACACTCCGCCTTTGAGGGGGTAGCACCTCCTGCAGACGAAGCAGTGGGTCTATTTATATCCCCCGACCCACTGGGGGTGAAAAATTATTTTAAGACAAAGCGGCATCAATTCATTAAAAGTTGAGCTGACATTGATCTGCAAGCCCCTCAATTACAGTACTATATAAAAAAACTAGCAAAAACCTCAGGGAAGTCCCACCCATAAAGTTAAAACAACAGCTTTTAGTCTGGTGCCAATTTTAACTAAAGACCCAATGTGTTATACTTGTGAGAGAAAGTTACTTGCAACACAATCAAGTCATATAAGTGCTGAAGATTAGAGGTGTTACTAGAGTGTAACATACAAACAGAAGAAGGAGGAGAGATAAGGACAATACATGACTGAAAGGAAAGAAGGAGCATATTATACTAGAGCATCCACCAACCACCCATGAGGAAGCAACACCTACTTTTGGTCTGGAACTTCATGATGATGGCCGCCTGCACCGGGGACACAGAAAAGTTGAGCGTCTCGTCTTTCAGCTCCAGCTCAATGTTCATAGTACCTGCAAGGTAAAAAAAATTGTAATTGTAAATGCCTTACACCCCACTGACACAATTCAGATTATTTAAGAGACAGGCTGTTTTGACCCTGTCAACCAAGGCTGAGAAGCATACAATATTCCAAGAGACAGATGGAGATATTCCATTTAAAAAACATCTCCTCACAAGAACTGAGAGAAAAGTAGGCCAATTCTGCACGCAAATGTGAAGCACATAAACACTACACCAGATACCAGTAGAAGTCAGCACATAAAAAACATGAAGTCGAAAAATTAATATGTCTGACTACTGTGTGGCATCGTGGTGAAATCAGGCATCCATTAAACATTTTTCCTCCTGATGGGCAATTTTCAGCACATTTTTTCTTTCCTGTCTTCTAAAGGCAATCCCTTTACTAAACTTTTAGATTGACCACTCAGTCTCAATTGTTGGTTTATGCGCTCATATGACCTTAGCAGTTGCGAGCGCCGTAAAACCCTATACTACATACTACAATTGTTGGTTTCAGTTTGTCAGAACTGGTTTTTGTCCTATTCTTTAAGTGGACAGATAATAGCAACAGTGTTTCTATAGATTTGAGAGAGAGAGAGAGAGAGAGA